TCATCAATCTGATCAGAATTCAGTTGCATTCAATGGCTTGCCATGGAAAAATAAGAACAGCAGCTGAAAGGAACCGAATCACATCCCTAAAAAGCAAATGTCAACTGCAGAACAAATGCTTGAACACCCAAACACCAGAGGAACACAAACTAACAGTACAACTAATTATAATGTCTGATAAACCACCACCCTGGCTCCGAGCAGTACCAGAACCAAAAGGAGAGTTCATGCGCTGAATTACAGAGTACACCACTGCAGTGGGACAGCTATGTTTCCTCAGAATGGTATATTCCAGCCCTGAGTGCAGAACTGAACACCAAGACACTGGGGCAGCAGACAGAGCCAGCCAGGCACCACCAGGTTCAGTGACAGCAGAAGCTTTCTTCAAATTATACTGGCAAATAGTAAATGGTTTCTATTGCCATACAGTTTTTGTTTTAAGTAATTTCTTAACTGATACAGAGAGACTATACATATTAAAGGGGTGCCTTACAATGTTTCATTATGTATTAGTATGCAAATCAGGTAAAACATTCTATCTTCACATCTAATTCTTACCGTGAAAAATTTGAAAATAATTTATTTTGAAATGTACTATATATTACCGTCATCATAGGCCCTATTATGTAAAACGACACCGAAATATCTTGGTCTTATCTTGCTATGCATACAGTTTTTACTAAAGGAGAATTATTTAACAGTCTTTTTGTACTTTGTACTTGCTGGGGATACAGAAGTAGCATATTCATTCAAGACACAGGGCAAGTACTTCTCATTACATGACATCAGGAGCTGGAAGAGCATGAAAAGACCAAATTGTATCTGAATAAGGTTAAAAAAAAAAAAGTTACAAAACTCTAAGAGATCAGCTGGCAACAAGCATTTTTAAGGCCTCTGTACAAATGAGACACTTAGAAAAATGTAACAAGTGCTTCAGAAAGTTACAATGTAATCAACTGCAAAAGCATCTTATATTTGAAACAAACACACTACAGAATAACAAAAATAACAGACTTCGAAGCAAAAAATGTAACAAGTGCTTCAGAAAGTTACAATGTAATCAACTGCAAAAGCATCTTATATTTGAAACAAACACACTACAGAATAACAAAAATAACAGACTTCGAAGCAAGATGTATACTTTGTGTTCTCTTGTGTTTTGTACTCTCTCTTACCATGAGCACCGAGACCGTGTGTACCATGCACCAAGTCATATCAAATTGTCTTAGACGATCAGAACCAGGAAGCAAAACAGAGAGTAAATAGATTAAGATTAGGGATGTCAGAAAGATTTGTCACGTGTTTCTTAAATAAATAGAGGCCCGGGCTATCAGATTCTTTGTTCTAAAATGCGTTGCCTTTCATGAGAAAAAATGGCTTTTGTTGTTGTCTTTTGGGATCAGCAAGCACATGAATAAAATATCTAACACTAACTAGAAATAAAGAAGCTAGCCCCAATAAGCTATTAACCATGCCAGTGTTATTAATTAGCTGAAAATGTAAATCTTATCGCCTTATTTTCTAATAATCTCTATGAGGTAGCTGATATTAGTACAAGACTGAAATATGGATCTTTAGTCCCCAGTCCATGATATGGATGTAAAGAATTCCCTCTGAGCATTTTATAGAACCTGTTTTTATACAATCGGGCCAATCTAAAAAAACAAAAACAACAACAACAAAAAAAAACCTGCTACTAGAACAACAAAAACATAAAATTCTAGTGAGCAAATTATAGACTTCCTATTTTTCCATCTTAAATGGCTGGCAGAGGATTATGTCACAGGCCCTAACTGATCCCCCCAACAACCCTCAGTTAAGTAAAAAAGAATTGTGCCAGGGTCCCATTCTTTCAAGGAAGCCAGGACACACTCAGCAACGTGTGGTATACGTTAGTAACCTATGAGACATTGAAAGCATGTGGTGGTAGGAAAAGAATAAACTCGGAAGCATGTTTCTAAGTGACCAAAGAGCATCAAATATATATGGATATATTTCATTCTTCATCAGTGTTAGGAGGATTGTTCCACATGAACTCATTACTAATTTTCAAATTCTGTTAAATATCTTAAGAGACATGACCCGCAGCAGATAAGAGTTGCTTCTGCATAAGTCCAGAATGTTTTAAGACATAATTGCTATTACGTAACTTCCAGCTTCCAGCTGGGAGGTCAAGCATGTTCTACAGCGACACCTCCTGGTAGGTGGCAAGACAGAAGCAAGCCACAGGCAAAACAGGCACAGGGGGGCATCACCTGCAACAGTGATGACAGCCTGCTCCAGCCTCTCTGCGCTACACCACGAGCCCAGAGATAGCCCTGGCCCCTCTTCCTCACAAGCTTTCCCATCAGTGACTGTGAGAAAGACGTTTGCTGGCCCCAGCTAGCCAGGCAAATCACACTGAATATGCAAGCTAAAGCTTAAAGGCCCAACTTTTGTATTCTAAGGAGTAAAACTGAAAAAAATGTAAAAATGAAACTCCACTTTATCACATCTCAGGTGAGCTAAAGACCATGAATAGCAGAAACCTGCTTTAAAACCTATTTCTCTAAAAGGTGTGCATTACTAGACTGAATCACAGCTCTCATCCCCATCACACTTTTACATAAAAGTCATGTGACCGATGTCACTACTGACATCAGATTCTCTATGTAGAAAATTCAGGGTGCACACTTTTCAAACGGAGATTTACATGTTTGCCATTTCAAACATATTTTAGCCAAAGGCTGCTTAGTTAAAGACAAAAGCACAAATTTCCACAATGACTACAACTCTACCATGGAAAATGCCAGAAGGAAACTTGATAAACTAGTTCAACCTACCCTACCCCTGTAAGATACCTCACATTCAGTTTACGGACCCAAGATTTAAGCAGTGCAGTGATGAGCAACAGAAAACCTGGATTCTAGTTTGTGTTCTCCCTTTCCATCTGGGCGTCATGGGCTGAACAAGATAACCTTGAAGCATGAATTGTCTTGCCTTATAAAACTAAAAGGCACTGAATGCCTCAACAATGTCACTGTTACCTGCGCCTGTGTATGACCTCCCCAGGAGCCAGGGCTGGTTCGCATGCCAATCTCGCTACCCCAGTGACCACACGAAGTTAACTTTCCTTTAAGTGTCTGTTACTCTTTCAGCTGTACCCTGTAGTGTAACTGCTCAGCACAATAGGAAGAGGCTTAGTTTCGAGCTCTGGTACCTTCTCCTTCACCCAGTCAGATCTCAATATTCACTTAAAATCACGGCCTCGGAACGATGGTCCACACTACATAATGAAGGCTTGGATTTGGGGAAGGGGTAGAAGAAAAGTGCTTCCGTCACAGAGTGCCTGAGTGTAGTTATGCAATCAGTGCGCTAAACTGTCAACAGTTTGAGATCCTTGGAGTTTAGACTAAAATGTGACTGACTGGTAGGACAAGGCACAATCCATGCTAATGAGAGAGTAAGGTACTACACATCCTGGCCTTTTCTAAGCCTGTCAGCTGACTGTTACAGCGGTTTATCTATAGGGGAATGCTGCACGTTCTCGGTACCGATTCGTACCAGCCACAGGGCTCCTAAGTGACTTCTTGGTTGTATGCAATCAGTTCTCTGCTCCTGGGTGTGAAGGATAAAGTGACGGAAGGAGGACTGGGTATGTAGCTCAGTGGCTTAAGCACTTTCCCTAGCAGGGAGGAAGTTCCCAGGACAGCAGCAAAGGCACATTTCACTAGTAAATGGCTACAGAAAACATTACAGTCTTCCTCTTTGATACCTCCACTCCTAGCAGGTTCTCCATTCACAGGGTTCACATCTACGGCCACAGTGACCAGAAGAAGCTGTGCTGCCCGGTGCGGATTAGCTGGTTTAGGGAACCAGAACACCCCTTTTAAAGGTGAATCAATTACTACAGCGCCTTGAACTTCAAACTGTGTACACAGAGTTCCTTCCATTAAGAACACAAACATCAGTTCTCAGAACGCTAATGCGGACGGTGGATTTCACCGCACTACCTTCCCCACTTACATTCATTCATTTTTCTAATCAAATATTCATCGAGCACCTATTATGGTGCTCAACTATTCAGGTCGAGAAAAGGGAATGAGCTGAAAAGGGGTGAAACGAAGACAATATGTATGAAGATAAATAAGACAGTAAGGGCTACGAAGAAAAGCCATCTGTCTTCCTGACAGCTACTAATAAAACCATAATCATCCGATCTATCTATGACATATAATAATGGACTGCCCACAGCCGGCGGCACAGAATCTAAATCATGTCTAGTGAACCCGAGAGCTCACAATCAGTCCGCATGTGTATTCCAGTTCCAATATTTTAAATATGAATCAAAGGAAATATAAAAGAAACCGGGACCCGGTGAAACATGACACGAAACAGATTTAAAACATCTGTTCTCCACTCTGCTGCTATGCACATGGAGAAGAAAGGTGAATAACCAGTAGATTTTTTTTTCTTTTGTTTCTTTTTCCTTTTTTTTTCCCCGAAAAGTGAAAGGGAGGAGGCACAAAAAGAAAACTCGGTTAGCATTTTATGACATCCCCTCATATTTTAAGAGGCAAACACAACACATATAAAGAAAACTAAACAAAACTCCTTAAAATAATTTTCAAGAACGATGCATCCAGCCCCTGAATACAGTCCTCCAAGCTGCTTGCTCCTCCACGCTGCTGGGCAGGCTAGAACTTACTTTTTCCTGACTTTGGCTCAGGGTCAAGCGCCCCGAAATCTGCAAGCAGCAGATAAAGGGTCCTCTACGCCCAGCTTCCACTAGGAAAGGCAATCAAGGGCCGCGCGCAGTGACCTCGGGCAGGCTGCGCACAGGAGACCCGAGGCCGGCGCCGGGATGCCCTCGGGCCGAGCCCTGCTTCTCTGCCTCCCCACCCGGTGAGCGCGGCCTCCCTGCGGATGGAGAGGAGCGGCGGACCGGCGATCAGACCCCACCTGCAGAGCCCACCCTGCTCCCGCCCGCCGCCCGGGCCCGGCCTGCGGGGGACTCTGACCTCTCCGCGTCCCCGGGCTACTGCTGCTGCCGCTGCTGCCCGTGCTCGGGCTACCGCTGCCGGAGCCGCTGCCGCTGCTGCTGCTGCTGTGGCCGCCGCCGCCGCCCTTGGCGTTCTTGCGCGGGGGCATCGCGAGCCGCTCTGGGGACTGCAGAGAACCGGGGCCTCGCTGGGTGTGCTGGGGGACACGGCGATCGGCGACTCCTGCAGCGGCGCCTCAGCCTCCACCGCGCTCGCCGCTCCTCGGAGGACTTTGCAGCAACGTGCGGCGGCGGGTTCAGCCTCGCGTGCGCCCAGCCAGTGTGTGACTCCCTGCGCTGCTCAGAGCGTTCTGCAGCCACAGTCTCGGCCCCGCCCACGCCAGCCTCGGCCCGCCCACCAGCTCTGAAGGACGGCCACACAGGCCAATCCTGAGGACCGCCGGCTGGGGGCGGGGCCGGCTGCGCTCCCCTGCCCCCCGCCGGCCGGAGCAGGTCTGGCGCTGCGCAGCGGCTGCAAACCCCAGAGCGGCTTGTGGCTTTCTAGTTTGTCTTGATCCTTGGAACGTGGCAAACGTGGAAGCCGCCAGGGCTCTCGCGAGCCTTGGCGCTCTAGCTCCAACGGGATGGGGCGGGTAATGGGGGTGGTGCCCGAGAGCGGCGCACCACCTCTTTGCTTCTTCCTGGGAATTTGGTTCCGGAGCCTAAGCACGCACCAGTTCCGCGAGTACACCGTGATCATTGATCCTTTCGGTCTCAAAACAGGGATTTATGTCATTGGTGCCATAAGTATTTTTGGAGAACCTTAGTTAAGGCATAAAAATGTGAGCATTGACTCAAAAACCCCATTTTCTTACAATGCACGACACTTGCCAGACTAATACCTGGGGTTACTTGATGTCTCCAGCCATGGACCACCTCCTATGCTTGTGCCTGAGAACTGAGTATCAAAAATAAAAATGGCAGCAGCTAAGGTCCAGCAGAGACCACCATCATTTCTGCGTCACCAATTGCCCAAGGCATGTCTGTGAGCAATAGAAAAGCGTGAAAGACGTGGTGATTTGATACATTGCTGTCAACATCCTGAGGTCTTCCTGGAATTCTGGGCCACCTTGGAAGCACCCCCTTGCAGAAGAACAGAGAAAGGGACGTTCAGCTTTATTCCCCGTCTGCAGCCTGCGCTGACAATTCCTCAGCCACCACTGACAATTGCTAGGGTCACTGGCTTGTCATACCCAGCTATGAACGCTGGGTACTGCCCAGATGGAGTGTGGAATCTAGCGAGGGCAACATTGCAGAACAAGAAGAAAGTAGGCCTCTTTTTCATACGTCTATGAAGATGGGGACCAGTGGTTTTCACTTCATCTCTTTATCCCAAAGCCTCCTTCTGCCCCCAGGAGTCCTCTCTTCTCTCTTGGGCGCCCCTTACTGCCCACAAAGAACATTATTTCAGCAGGAGATAATGACTGGGATGAGGAGAAGCTGAGAGGCAAATCTGAGTCGTATCATTTAATATAAGATACTGAAATCTAAACTACAATAAATAAACAAGTAAAATATTCTTGATCTCCAAGATAAAACTTTTAATTTCTCATAAAACACTATTATAGAGTTTGTGTTTTGGGGAGTTTAATCTAAAATATCTCCCACAAATGTTTAAATCCTTATTTTTCAGCTAGTGATGCTTATCTGTGGAGCTGGGGAATCTTCAGGAGGTGGGACATCTGGCTACCTAAATGGGTCACCAAGAGCAGACCTTTGAAGGTTATTTTATTAGTCCAGGCCCTTCTCTCCTGCTGCCATGGGCTTCCACTGTTTCTGACAACGGGAGCTGCTACTGTTATGCCTTCCTTGGTCACAGTAGATTAAAGTCTCCCTAGAACTGTGAACCTAAATAAACCTTTTCTCAAGTTATTTCCTTTGGATATTTTAATCAACGAATCCAGTAATGTTACAAAGTTGGTGATAGAGAGGGGATATGAATTCAGCCTGCATGCAGAATTGCCTCCAAATTATTCTTCCTAGAAAAGGCCCCGTGCTCAGTCGAGAATACCTCACCTGACTCCACGCTCCTGAAGCAAAGACTTCTGGGATTATTTTCACCCTTCCTGCAAAGAAAAAGTGAAACTTCAGTGTTTCACTTATGAAAGGGAGAAATAGTTTGGGGAAAAATCACATTTCTTTAACAGCTGTCTCCACGAGGCCTGGAGTTCCCAGAAACTAAACCTAGTATTGTCTCTAGTAAGAGGGACATAGTCACCTCTCCACTCCATTTCCCCTAGGATCCTGAAGAGTTGCTTCCCCTTTCCCGAGACCTCCAAATCAAGCAAAACCAGGATCTATCTATGGCTACACTTCAGAAAATACTTTCAGGGTGAGCCAATAAGAAAGTGAGTTGGATATTTTATTAAAAGAAGGTTTTAATATAGCTCTTAAGTGGAGGGCTTATTAGAAAAAAAAAAAAAGATGCTTCAGAGAGAGAGAGAAAACACAGCCAGCAGGACAAGTATGGGCTCGTCTAAGGAAGAGCTGCAATTGAGTCTCTTCACAATGAGTGTCTCATTAGGGTTTTATTGCTATGAAGAGACACCATGACAAAGGCAACCAACCCTCATAAAGAAAAACCTATTAATTGGTGCTGGCTTTCGGTTTCAGAGGTTTAGTCCATTATCATCATGGTGGGAAGTATGGAAACGTCCAGGCAGAAATGTTGCTGGAGAAGGAGGTAAGAGTTCTACATCTTGATCTGCAGGAAACCAAAAGAGACTGTCTTCCACGCTGGGTAGAGCTTGAACATAGGAGACCTGAAAGCCTGCCTCTACAGTGGCACTCATCCTTCAACAAGGGCACGCCCACTCCAACAAGGCCACACCTCCTAACAGTGCCACTCCCCATGGGTCAAGCATTCAAACACATGAGTTTATGGGGAACATACTTATTCAAACCACCACCACAACGGGTGTATATGGGACTTGGGTAGCTCTCAAGCTATACCTAGGGGTTGCTAAGAAACATCTTCTTTCTAATATTGTCCAAAGACTATAATTTGTAACAGCTTTAAAAGTTAGCATTTTTTTTCTCAGTAACAAAGCTGTACAGTGTATTCATGATAGTTATCATCTAGGTCTAGGAGAGGGGTGGGGGTGCTAGGAACATAAGGTTACACATCATTTTAGCCCTAAGCGGCACAACCTAAGTACTGGGACGTGCTTGATTGAGAGGGCTCTGGAAATGCATCAACTGGGCCTAAGTGAGAAAACTGTAGCATCTTTGATAAAATGAGCTGGAGAGATGGCTCAGCAGTTAAGAGCACTGGCTGCTCTTCCAGAGGTTCTGAGTTCAATTTCCAGCAACCACATGGTGACTCACAACCATCTATAATGAGATTTGATGCCCTCTTCTACCACACAGGCACACATGCAAATAGAGCACTCATATATGTGTAAATAAATCTTTTTTAAAATGCCTTTTGGCAAACACATATTGTCTCAGTGAGCAGGAATGTCAATTGCCCTGATTCTATGAAGGTCTTGAGTGAGTTCATGAACACAGGGGTCTTATATCCAGAGGCTGTGTTTTATTACAGCCCTCAAAACCTTTGATTCTTTGAACCTTTCTGCCTCCTCCTCCTCCTTGTCTCCTGCGTTTGATCTCTGGCTGTGAGGGGTGATATGGATGCTCTATGTGTGAATAAGCACTCAACAGGCCCTTACTTTCTGCACTTTGATGCTTGTTTCTGTGTTAACCACAAAGAATCTTCTCTTATGATGTCTGAGAGCTGAAATACGAGTATAGACAAGAACCTTTTCAAGCTGCCTCTACTCACAGTATTCCCAAAACAGTTAGTTATAGTTCAATAAGTTAGTTAACTGTCTTACAACAAAAACTTGACTCTGTTACTACAGATAAGATAAGCTTCTAAGTTACTTCCTCATGAAAAAAAAAACCATTTAAACAGTTGCTATTTCTAGGAAATTGATAGAATTAACATACTATTCTTAATTCCTGAACTTAAAGCTAGATAGGAAGAAATCGAAGTATTGGAGAATAATAGTTAATTTCAACCATAGCAATATGAGATATATAAAAGGAAATACTCTTGATATTTCAGTGGAATTAAAAAAAAGTATCTGAGATGTAGAGAATAATATGGAGAAACTCAAGAATTCAATTTGTAAGATAATCTTTGTCTCTCTCTCTCTCTCTCTCTCTCTCTCTCTCTCTCTGTGTGTGTGTGTGTGTGTGTGTGTGTGTGTGTGTTCATGAAACCACCATTCTCTGAGACAGGTCTCAGAGCCAGAGTAAAGTATCCTGAAATTAGCATCAACGATCTTCCAGTTTTATAAAGTCTAGCTATATAAAGCAGGTGAATTTTTCTAACAACGAAGACAATTATTGCAGTCAATCTGAATCCTTGATAGTTATTGGGAAAGCATGCATAAGTTACATAAAATCCATATTAACCCTTCCCCTCTTTTATTTATTTATTTTTTTGCAATGACATCATCCTAACTTGAATCTGTTCTGCAATTTCATCAGCACATGACAAACATTATTATGCCAGAACCAAAACAAAATTCTAAGGAACTTTGCCAAAAGTCTGGCAGTGTGAAACTAACTGAGAACATCAGTCACGCTGCAGGATAATAAGATTTCATTACTCTGAAGCTGTCTATTAATTTATATATGAAACACTACAAGATTCTTTACTTTATGGAGTACAGAATTCAAATTTTTATAGTGTAGTAGTTCTGGATATTTTTCAGTCCTTCATGGAATTGTTCCAATGCTGTCAATTCATTTCTCTCTTGGCAGACTTCCTTGAGTTAGAGACAGTCACCAATATTCTAGAAGACCCCTAAAGCTACTTCTCCTGATGCCAGAGACCATATTAATCTAATAAAAATGTAGTAAAAATAGTCTCTGTGCTGCTGCCTCACAAATGACATAAGGTGGGGTTTTTTTCCTCTGCTTCTCTAAGCAGACACACTACACTTAATTTTTCTAGCTATAAAACAAAACAATTGAGGAACACAGCTACCAAAATATATGCCTAAAGAAGCAATTATGTAAAATCTTTGTATAGATGTATCCTAAGAGATTGTTTAAACAGCATTTTCTTCCTAAAATTTGAGCAAATTTAAATAAAAGACAAATATCTTGATATAGCATTTAGGCCTAACTAAAAACAATCTAAGTTACAAACATAACTAGGACACTATATATTTTAGTGTTCTTGAGAGAGGCCTGTTGCCATGTTTACTGAAATGTGGGAGCTTGGTGGTTCAGACAGTGTCCAGAACAGAGCATGGATGACAGGATCGGTTCTATCCTGTGATCTTCACACTTGCCCTCTTTCTGCCTGAGGATAACTCTCCCCAGTGCCTAGTGATGCACATCACTTCACTTGGTTACCTCAAGCTGCACTGTCCCTCTCAAGCTGAAGTATCCATGGTGGGCAATCTATGTAAAAGGTTAAAATGGTTGGATACAAAACACTGTGAAATTGCACATAAGGGCAAACAT